ACATGAGTCCATATCTTACAATAGCTTTTTAGTTCTATTTGTTTTATATAATATGAACTATATTACAGTTAATTTTATTGAGATTAATTAAATATGAACAATCTCATAGCATACCCATAGAATAAAATTATTTTCTAATTATATTATCTATGTAATGAAACTAGTTTGTCACCAAAGTGGATTATGTAATTTGAGTTATAAAATCTGTTTTAGTTATATTTTGAGCATATATGGACTTGAAAATTTTTTATACATGATCTTGCATGAGATGCATATATATGGGTGAAACTTGGCTATTTCTGAAATATTATATGTTCGTTTGAATATTATGGACTGAATGACGTATTATATAATCTGCAAGATTTTATTTTCACTAACATGATTTGAAAATTTTGAAAAGTATTTGTGTCTAATGTTTTTAGTGCTACAAAAATTCATGTGATCTTATAAGTATTTGTGTCTAATGTTTTTGTATGAGAGAAATATTATATATAAAAAGTGGTGGAAATATTGGATATAAATTATTTATGTTATATAGCTCAAATTTATGATCATCTTTGTAATATGGTTAGATTAGAAGATAGAATTGTGCAATTATGAAATAGTGCAGTATCTATCTATCCAAATTTATAAGGTTCAACTGAATACTAGTAGTCCTAGAAGGACACTAATATTAAATATTGATGGATAGAATAATTAGAACAATGTTTTACTTGTCGATAGCTTGTAAGTCGCCAACGAATTTCTTATTCACTCCCTGAAGGATCTTTTACAAGTTAACGATAATGTTTTTATATACTCCCCGATGGATCATCATCGACGTAAGTATCTCCCATAAATTCAAAATAATGTTTTGGTATACTCCCTGCAGGATCAACACCAATACAAGTATCAAATAAAATTATGACTACACTGTGAGTAAGTCTTGATGACTAATTTTGAATTAAGATGATATTGAATATTTTATGATCTGTTATGAACAGTTTGTATTCCTGGAGTAATAC